GTGAGAAGAAGCAGAAGTTCTATCAGAGTATACTTTATGTACGAGTGGATGAGGCTCTAATTCGAACATTAGTACAGTTCTAAAATCTACGATACAACTACTTCACTCTCAATAAAGAAGACATGATGTTGACTACCGAGGAATACATGACTTTATTGCACTAAGAAATAATCCAGAAAGGTCAGATCCATTTCAAACCTAACAAAGGTTGCGAGAGTATATTAAGTCAAATAGAGATAGAGAGATTAAAGATGTCTCTCCAAATATAAGAGGAGGCATTAAACGTGAAGTCTTGAAAAAGCATAGAAAGTCATGGAAGGATAAAAGAAGAAAACGAATGAACTTCATATAATTCTTATGTGATGGAAGACATCAGTGGTGTTTTCAACGAGAACATGCTCAATAGAAGGTGAAGGTAAGAGATATAGTCATCCATGAGTTCTAAAATCAAATTCAATAGATGACTAGTCATTTATGCAATTTGGTAAGAAGAGTTGAGGCAATGAGACATGGTATCCAACTAGTGACCAGTAAAGTAAGGAGACTTGTCATCCAACTTGAAGTTATATAGAGTGTAGAAAATCTGGCTCAAGTGTACCTTTAAATTTTTTTTGTCTCATTGTAATGACACTTTTATCCCAATGTAGGTTATTTATTATGACATACACTTTTGGATCAACACATCAAAATCTTCATGTATTCATCATATGTTTTTGCCTTTTATTTTATTTTATTAACTTATTAATATGTATTCATCATTAAAGCATAAAGGACTGATAAAAATTATTTTATCCAAAACGGATCAAACACTGGACACACCACATCCTTATAACACCTAGTTCAAAGCAAGGAAAACGGAATCCATGCTGAAGAAAATCGAAGATAACTTTTCCAAGTTGTAGAAGGAGATAGAAGAGAATCACAAGACTATCATGGACTCTATCATCAAGAATAAAAACAACTTAATTGAGCAAATCATGGAAAGACTGGCAGGATTGAACCTTGTTAATATCCATGGGGCAATGATATATGAAGAGGCAGTGGCGTCGCTCACCCCAAAGCTAGTAATCACACCTAGGATCTCCTAGATGTACTCAAGGAATTCTTCTGCTACAATGGCATAAGTCTCGACAATGAACCCTCTGAAAAATCCCGAGGATTATCGGATCTTATACTTAAACGAAGAGGACAATGCAGAGAAAATGAAAGAAAAGATAAAGCAACTAGAGGATCAAATGAAGACTGTGAAGGGGGAATAAAACTTCTATGGGGTCGATGCTATAGACCTTTAAAAATTCAAAGTGTTGAACTTTAAAAAATTCGATGAGAACAACTCTCCTTCTTCTCATATCATAATATTATACCGAAAAATGATAGGACATATCAGGAATAATAAACTCCTGATTCACTATTTCCTGGAAAGCTTGATGTGTTCGACGATCCGTTGGTACAATCGGCTGAACCAAGTTTATATCAGGTCATGGAGGGACCTTGCTAGGTCTTTCTAGGAATAATAAAAGCATGTGAACGCGCTATGAGACTTGACCGAGTGATGTTATGAAGCATAGAGAAAAGGCCAATGAAAGTTTATGACAGTATACACAATGGTGAAAAGATGTAACTATGCAAGTTCATCTTCCTTTGGAAGAAAAAGAGATGAGGAAGCTTTGCGTGCATATTCTAAAGGTTCATTTCTTTAGGCACTTGATCATAATCACATCTGGAAGCTTCACCGATATTGTGGTGGCCGGTGAAATGGTAGAAGTGTCCATCAAACAAAAGATTGAGGGAAATAAATCCCATAGGAGGCCAGCCTCAAAGAATAAAGAATGAGAGGTCAACAATGTGAACGTCTCTATTTTTAGAAAGGGTGTCACTATCTCTCGATCGAAGTCAACAATGGTCACATCATCAAATCCTTCAAGGCAATTTGACCCTATTTTAATAGTTTATCGAGAGTTGTTTCAACAACCATGTGATGTACATATTGTGTCACCTTATCTGGGGGGATCCCCTAAAACCACTATACCCTAGGTGGTACGATGAAGGAGCTCGATCTGAATACCATGCTGGCGTCCTGGGGTATTGCATAGAAAAATATCCCACCTTTAAGTGGATTGTCCAAAGACTGCAAGAGAAAAATCACATTCATTTCAATTATTCGAAAGATGCCAATATTGTAAAAAATCCTAATCATGGGGAAACATGAGTCAATGCCACAATGGAGGATAGTTCAGAAAATAGTTGATAGATCTAGGATCTGTCCATTACTATCAGGGTTTGTGCCTAACAAGTGACCGATAAAGAGCTACCTGCAATTTTCAAATCTTTTTGACATTAATACTTGAACTCTCCTTATTTGCTCATACTAAGGGCAATAGATGATCTTCCGTCAAGGTAAATAAACTACATTATATTTAGTTTCAATAAAAGATGCATTCTATATTCCCATTTGGCAAACATATTTTCCATTCATTTTCTTGATTCATTGTATATATTATTTGCTTTTACTTCTTATATGAGATAGTTTCTCTCGTGTGTATATATATATATATATATATTCTCTAGCTTTTCTTTAGGTCTCTAGATATCAATGGTACGGATGATAATGACTCTAATCCAAAATCTAACTTCGAGTGACCTAAGATAACTCTCTTTTACCACAACAAACAAGGTGACATGATGGGGAGAATGAGCTCAAATGATTAGGGAAAAAATAAAATAATTGAAAAAGAAAAAAAGAAAAAAATCATCGTGCATTAATGACTTTTTAAATAAAAGATTAACTCTGAACATCTATCACCTGAGAATATTTCTTTCGCAAGGACTTTTATATATGAAATGATGAATGACATTGTTTTATTATCCTTTCACAAAAAGAAAAATATATCTATTGATGTCCCAATTTGAGTCTTAAAATTTTTTCTTTATATTTAACCCTAATGAAAGATCATTCCCTACACTGGGGGCAAGCCAAGAAATAAACTATGTCCGCTTAAGCGAAGGCAATCCAATCTAATAAGGTAAAACTTTTCTAGGTTGGCCAGATACAATAAGCTTGAAAATTTGAATCAAATCAAGATGTAACTTGTGCTCGAATCAAAACGAGGTCTCAAATTTGACAAGTAAAGAGGACAAAAGAGGGAACGTGTAAAGATTCCCATACCTTAAGTGATATCAAACAACAATGTTAGTAAAGTAAAGCTAGTTCAAAGATCCAAATTGTCAAATGAGGAACCTCTAGGGTGAAAACCTACAAGTGATCAATCTAGATGGATAAAAAATAAGAAAAGAAAAAGAAAAAAAGAAAGAAGAAGCACACATTAAAGCAGATTCAAGCAAAAATGAATGAATGTATTGATATTTGGTTTAATAACCCTTTAATACACGTTTGAGCCCATCTATCCTTTTATTTCATAGCCACGATTCCTAGCCTACATTACGTGCCTAAAAAGTCATTTCTAGTTATACATTAATTTGTTAGTGAAAGAGAATCAGATTTTATTTCACACATTAGGGTTAATCTTTTATTTCTAATTTTTTAAAACGTTAATGTTGATTTGGAAAAAAGAAAAAATAATAAAGGAGGGTTCAATATGAAAACTCGCAAAGGGTGTCTTGAAAACCAAGTAAGGTTTCAAGTTCAAAACCCACAATGGACAACTTGAGTAACAAGTTAGGGTTTGCTCATAAGAAAGTCCTGAATCAAGATGACATTATCACAACCTTTGAGGCCCTTTCGACAGAAACTATATTTTTTGGGTGACGTGTCATTTCAAAGGAATCCATATCATTGATATCTTGTGGCACCTACTTCGCTCTTATCTGATTTTATTCAAATGTTTGTCATTAATTTGTCAAAAAAATTATTTCACTTATAAAATAAAAAAAAAACTTTTTTGAAAGCTCAATTTTCTTCGCATCTTGCATTGAAATTATGTATGGGTTATTTATTCATTGAAAAAAAAACCAGATCATTGTGTATTATTGTACAAAATTTCTTGGAAAGTGTAGGAATTTCAAAGGCTAATATGGGTTCTAACATGAAACTTGCATGAATCGCTCGGATATCATTTCAATTACCTCTATGTTCCAAATTTTGAAAAATAATGAATATTGGAAAAACATACTTATGTTAACGGTTTCCACTACTTGAAGACATTTTTTGTTCGATATTGGGTTCACAAAAATCATGATTTCCCATATTTAGAAGCTTTGATAGTTAGAGAAGATCAATACTTCTCATTGAAAACGAGAATGCCAAAAATGATACATTTGCATTTTATGCTTACCTAAGGACATCACATTCATGACGTTACACACATATATAATTTTGCAGATTGTTCGAGACAATTTCAACTTCACAATGAAAGATATTAAACTTGAAGAACACATAAAATTGACTTAAAACACAATGGAGGAGTGATTCACAACATATCTTAACTCAACGATGAGGAGCTATATCTCAATTTGACCTATAAAAGATCGACGAATCTTTGAGCCAATTTTAACTCCATGACGAAAGATATTGAGTTCTAAAGACATTTAAGATCGAATTAACCAGTGAAGGAAGAGTCATCTGTAACATAGCTTAACTCAACAATGAAGAGTTATTTTCCAATAATCGAGGTGAATTGCCTGTCGATGCTGGTAGCAGCGACGGTGAAGATCCACGGTGCAACGTTTTCAATTGTTAAGATCTACCCTTCGTTTCCACCGGAACAAGATGTCAAAATCCCTTTCCTCATTGCATGGAAAGCTCCTATAGCGATTGAATCATGGAAAAACTCCCTGGAATCACCCCATAATGACATGGATATTAAGTCCACTCCGTCGTTGATGGCATCATCCATTGCCGCTAGTAAATCGATGTCGCCGCATCCGCCACTCCAGCAAATCTTGTACAAGGTTACAGGAGCCAACGGCACGCCACCACGAGCTGTTTCTTTGGCTAAACCGAAAACGCTGGAATCCTTCACAGGTATCCCGGTAATAGTGGAGGCAGTGTGGGTGCCATGGCGTCAGTGTCAACTGGCGTAGGATCTTCCGGAATAGGATCAGTGCTGTCTAGCTGATAGTATCTTGCACCAATCACCTTGCTGCCCATGTTACAAATGGTTCAACAACAAATTTCACTGAATTGAGTTAAACTTGGTTAAAATTCTAAAGAGAAAAAGGAAGTACTTGTTGCAACCAGTGAAATTGGCTCCTTTGTCACATTTACCCTTCCATTTAGCTGGTGGAGGTCCATAGCCAGAATCATCAAAACTGGGGCATCCAGACCAAATCCCTACACAACAACATTAAACAACTTGTCTGTTTATAAGGTGGTAATTAAAACAGATGAACTTTTGATTACAAAACATGCAATTACCAGTGTCCATTACACCAACTATGATATCACTCTCAACAATCACGTTCCTTCTCTTTGTACTAAGAGGCATTCCCAGAAAATCCCATGATCTTGTTGTCAGAAGTCTTCGTTTAATGTTCTCAAATACCGATACAACTCCATCTTCATCTGTAAACCAATGTGAACGCCAATTATTCTTTTTTTTAATGACTAAATCTTCAAATTTAGTATAGTTAAGGGACATAAATCATAGTTTGAGCAATTGAAAGTTGTTTCAAACCAGATAGTCTTCTCGCTTCATCTGGCAAAAGTCTGGCAGCAAATCCATTAATGCTCTTCCCATAGTATATATTTTGGATTCTCTGGCTGTCTTCTCACTAAACGAAAAGAATAATTGTAAAAAAAAACATCATTTTATTTGGATAGAATAGTTGCAAAAAAAAAAAAAATGAAAACAAACAAATATTACTCTCCAATTGCCTTCAGGAGCATATCATTATGTTCCTCCATGGTTGAAATCCTGTCTGCATGATGTGGTACCTCTCCCATGTATACAATATATGGCTGTTGTCAGAAAAATATATAATAAATCAACATTGTATGAGAAATTAATTGATCTCATATCCTATATGTGTATGTATGTATGTACCTTCCTTCCATTTTCAGATGATCCTTGGATTAACCTTGTGGCAATGCATGAAAAACAGACAAAATTTGCTCCCACCCGAAAACTATGGTGAATGCCAGTCAAATGGACCCTAAAATCCATTAACAGTAAATTTGCATGGTCTCTTTGAATCTGAGATTTTAATGGCTTTTATTTGGGAATAGTATTAGTCAATTTATCGGATTTATCCCAATCATAATCCTAAGATAAAAATCCTAAAAAGAATACTCCTAAAATAATATATATATATATATATATATATATATATATATATATATATAAATACGTATATTAATTTTTTTTATCAATTACTGGTTGATCTAGGAGCATAAGGTGTTAAGTTTATTTAAATAATGTAATAACTTTAATTCGTAATATTGTGAATGAGGTAAATTGGATTTAGAAGATAATTTTATAATATACTTTATAGTATTTAATCGTGATTAGTTGCTCAATAAAAAATTATTTAATTATATAATATATATATATATATATATATATATATATAAAGCCTTAAACTTATGATGACAAGGTTGGTTCTTGAAAAGCCTCATCTCAAGATTTAGGAACATGATATATATATATATACTTTTTTATGCTTTATGTAAACATAAAGTGATGCTACATCGATAATATGGAAAAATTGATCAACGATTAAATTGATAGATCATTGATTCTTAATCTAACTGATTTGGACACTTAATATTGAAATTTACGAATTGTAAATTATTTTAATGAACATTATTAAAGAGTGATGATTTATCATCATCTAAGGAATATCCTTTTTTTTTTTTAATGCAAAGGAGGAAAGCAACAGACAGCTTCAGTTCATAGCAGCATCGTCATTCAGCAATGGGGCAATAGCAACAGGGGGTTGGTCCAGGCGGGTCATACCAAAAGTGAAATTCTAAGCGGCTTCAGCAACTGCATCCGCAACTCTATTACCGTTCCGAGCAACATGCGAGAAACTAAGGCTCCAGCTTCTTGAGATCATTTCAGTTAAGTGAGGGACCAGATGGGAGATTCCTTCCATTTGCGCACCTTGTTGAACAAGGGAAAACGCTTCCTTACAATCTGTTTCCACCAAAACTTGTCGCTCCCCGATCTGTCAGGCCAAGTTTAAACCTTCATACACACTCCAAAGTTTCGCATCCAAGATCGAACACGACCCTAATGCATCCAATATCTTAATCAAAATAAAGATTTCATTATAATACATAGATAAAAAAGATTAGGGTAAACTACGCATTTTGAACCTAAACTATCGGTTTTGTTCTATTTTAGTACCTAAACTTTCAATTTTTAAAACCATAACTAATGTGTAGTTTTTAGTTAATTTTAGTATCCAACGTTAAAAACTTAACGCATTTAGTACATAAACTATCAATTTTAGTCCGTTTTAGTACCTGAACTTTCATTTTTTTCCAAACCTTAACGTTAATGTCGTAACCGGTTTTCGCCCAGGTACAAATTTTTACTTGGCGGGAAAGTATGTGAATAAATAAATGGTTTTTTAAGTAAATGTTTGGAGACTCGCCATTGACCTTGTTGGGTTAGGTAGGTCAAATACCTAAAAACAATCTTTTAAAATAGTTTTTAAGAAAACATAATTTAAAAGATAAATTGATCTGAGTATTACAAAAAAAATTTAGTAAAAAAGGGATTCGTGGTCGGTTACATTTAGGGAAGGATTAACACCCCTATAACGCCCAAAATTGGTACCCATTAATTATAAATTGTCTCTATTATTGGAAATTTAAGAATTCAAAAATATATTTAATTCATAATCTTTTATTTCAAATTTATTACTATAATTTTAAGAAAATATATTAATATTTATATCATTAATATATATATTTTTTAAGTTTTTATGAGATATTTATTTACTTAAAAATATCAGAAAATGACATCTAGTTGCTTTAAGACCGCCCCTTTCTTAATATTAAAAAAATAAATAAATATTAAAAACATGATTAAAATAATTTATATAAAATTAAAGCAAATATTATAAGCATGATATTTATTTATTTTAAAATACCAGAATATGACATCTAGTTATTTTAAGACTGTCCTTTTTTAATATTTAAAAATAAATAAATATTATGAATTTATAAAATTAATCAAATAATATATTAATATGACTAAATAATAATAATAAAAATTGATAAATTAAATACATTGAAAATAAAAGGATAATAATAAAAATAAATTGCAATAATGATAAAAATAAATAAAAGTAAAATTACTGGATTAAAATATAAAGTATTAAAATTAAAGATACTAATTCTAAACATCATGAGAGATAATGGTTAACAATATAATTTAACCTAATTAATTATTCGGTATTAAAATATTAATTAATAAAATTACAGGGGCCAAATCGATTATTCACCCTAAAATATATATAATTATGGCAGGGACTAAATTATAAAGAAATAAAATTGAAAGACCAAATTAAAATGATTATAAATTGATTTTAGGGACTATAATGTAAAGTTAAAAATATGAGATGTCATTGGGTATAATTTACCCATTTAAAATTACGCATATACCCTTTCCCAAAACGATGCCGTTTGAGAAGGGGTATAAATACCCGAATATGGCCGGCCCTTCGGGCCATTCTCTAATTTTCTCTCTCTAAAAAGAGAGAGATATCATCTCTCTCGCTTCTCTCTATGATTCCCTCACCGGAAGGGAATCCGATCGCCGCCCGACAGCCACACACCGCCGTCAGCTCCACCGCCGGCCACCGTCGTCGGTGGCTGGAAAACACAAAACTTTCCCGAATGATAGATCCGACTATATTAAGGTCGATTCTAATCTCTGTTTCCCCTAAATATCCTTAGATTTTCGTAGATCTATAGAAATACCTTCGATATTTCGACTTCAACTGTGGCGCGGATAGGCGCGTGGGAACTCTGGTGGCGTCGCAGCTTCCTCGGTAAGGTTTCTCTTAATTTTTGTCTCAATATTTTGGTGGTTTTTGGTTGATGTGTTGCTTTCTTGTTGCTCTCTGTTTTTTTGCTTGCAGAGAGTCGATGGTTTTTATAAGCATCACCGGTGATGGCTTCGGACAGGTTAATAAAACTCATTTCGGTGAGTCACCAAACCTATGGTGGTGACTCACCTAAGAGTGGCGACGTGTGCGGTGGGCTTGGCTCTTCTAAAAGCTTCATTTGGCATCGTGGCAACGGCGGAGCGACGTGGAGGTGGTGGCAGCAGAGGCGACGGCCGCGTGGTCCCTAGGGTTTCATGGTGGCGAGCTTTGGTCCGTTGGATCTTGCCAGATCTAACGGCTGGTGGCGTTGGCGGCTAGGGTTTCATATGATAAAACCCTAGTTGTGTTTTAGGGTTATTGTTGGGCTAAATCAGGTTGGGCTCTTTGTTCTGGACCTCTGGGATTTGTAATTGGGCCTGTAATAAAATAATAATAATAATAATAATAATAATAAATAATATAATAATAAAATAATAAAATAATAATAAAATAATAAAATAATAAAATAATAATAATAGTAATAAATAAATAAATAATAATAATAAATATAAAAAAAACCAAATGGAAAAAAACTAGTGTCTTCAGCTGCCCCTCTTTGCTCATTCTTGTGTTAACGAGAATAGGGCAAAGACGAAAAGACAATAAGTTTTTTTTTTTCATTTGACTTCACTTGGTTAGGGTGGAAATGTTGAACAAGTTCTTCTCATTATGAACTTTTTCACTGGGGTTGACAATTTATCTCCTTCTGTGATGTAATCTAGGAAAAAGTTGAATAAATTCTTATCATTATGAACTTCTTCTTCTTTTTTCAGATGAGTTCTTCTCTTTATGAACTCCTTCTGGAAATGCTGATCTTCGAAGGAGGGGTTGTTAATTCGTCTTCATATGTGATGAATTAAGGCAAGGTTGAACAAATTCTTCTCATTATGAACTTCTTCTCTTTCTTCAGATGAGTTCTTCTCATTATAAACTCTTTCTGGAAATGTTGATGCTGATCTATCTCTTTCTGTGATAGAATCACACAAACGGTTGAACAAGTTCTTCTCATTATGAACTTCTTCTTCCTCTTCAGATGAGTTATTCTCATTATGAACACTTCTGGAAATGTTGATGCTGATCTATCTCCTTCTGTGATAGAGTCATGCAAAAGGTTAAACAAGTTCTTCTCATTATGAACTTCTTCTTCCTATTCAGATGAGTTCTTCTCATTATGAACACTTCTGGAAATGTTGATGTTGATCTATCTCCTTATGTGATAGAGTCATGCAAAAGGTTGAACAAGTTCTTCTCATTATGAACTTCTTCTTCCTCTTCAGATGAGTTCTTCTCATTATGAACACTTCTGGAAATGTTGATGTTGATCTATCTCATTATGAACTTCTTCTTCCTCTTCAGATGAGTTCTTCTCATTATGAACTCTTCCAGAAATGTTGATCTATGGAGTGATGGATTCAAATCTTTGGTAAAAATCTTTGAAATTCCTGTCAAATATTCAACATTGATAAAATGAATGAAAATGCCCCTATTTTTGCAAATGTCTAAATATGACGCATGAATGTTAAGTTCATCTTTATTTGATTTCAAAGTGCGAACTCGGTCTTCCTTCACTTAGTCAAAATCATTTCAAGCTATTGGAAGAGACTCTATATCCTCTTTGCTTCATTTTTATTAAAGTCTAAGAAGAAATGTTTCATTCATGGAACTCTTGTCGTAGTTAGAACTATGATCTTGATGCCCCATTTTGTCTTTGATAAAACCTGTTTTCTTTTTCTGAACTTGCGTAGAAATCCAATAAAGCTTTCACTTTTGAAAAGAGAATCTATCATCTTTGAAGAATGTAGATGTAGATATGCCAAATTCAGCAGAGATTAATTAGGATAGCAGCATCTGTTCTGATTTGACTCTTGAAACATATCATAAGGAAGATTTATTCTAATTCCTTTCATGTCTCCACATCTAATTGGATCTCGAACAAAGCCATTCAGACCATATCATGTCGAGATTCTTAACAACAATCATGTCGAGATACTTAACACATCATAAGGAAGAT